CCTGGAGAACATGTTCCTGCAGTGCCCGAAGCCCACGCTGCAGCAGATCAGCCGCATCGCGGAGCAGCTGGGGCTGGAGAAGGACGTGAGTGCCCTGCCTGGCCCGTCCCTGTCCCCAGGGCGTCCCCTCAGTGGTGAGGTGGGGGCTTCATTCCCACCTCACCACTCCAGAGCTGTGGGCTTTGGGTAAAGTGACAGCTCAACCAGACCTGCCTTCCGGAGACGACACCCAGCACCACTGTCCTGTGTCCCCTCTAGGTGGTCCGAGTGTGGTTCTGTAACCGGCGCCAGAAGGGCAAGCGATCGGGCAGTGACTATTCCCAGCGAGAGGAGTATGAGGCTGCGGGGTCCCCTTTCCCAGGGGCCCCTGTGTCCTTTCCTCTGGCCCCAGGGCACCACTTTGGCACCCCAGGCTATGGAAGTCCCCCCTTCACCACGCTGTACTCTCCTGTCCCTTTCCCCGAGGGGGAAGCCTTTCCCCCGGTGCCTGTCCCCACCCTGGGCTCTCCCATGCACTCAAACTGAGGCTGAGGTGGCACTGTCCCTGCCAGGAATGCCAGGTGGTGGAGGGGGCGGAGTTAGGAAGGAGCTGGGATCTAGCAGGGCTTTGGGGTTAAGTTCTTCATTCACTAAAGAAGCAGTTAGAAGCACAGAGGGTGGGGGCAGGGAATTTGGGGGAACCAGTCGGAGGGAAGCTGCCGTTCAATTATGCTCTTGATTTTAATCCCCTCATCACTTTGATTTTAAATAAAGAAGCCTGGGGCACAGTAGATGCTTCTGTCTCTGGTGGTTTTCCTTTAGTCACTGAAAAGGTAGTAGGGATGAGGAACCCAGTGTTAGATAGGAGATGCTCACAGCCAAGTGACCCCAAAAGTGGGGCTAGAGGTCACACACTGTCCGAGGAGGAGCTGGGATTGCAGCCCAAGCTAATCTATAGAGGGTCTCGCTTGATCATCAGCAGCTGCCTCTTGGGAAGGCCTGGAGGGTTTAAGCAGAATGCCCCACTTCTGCCCAAAGGTGCAGGCGCCGGCGGCCCCATAACCTGGTCAGAGCTGGCTGTGTCACCCGTGCCCCGGAGTCCCCTTGGCCAGAGATCAGGTCCTCAGGTGGCCGCTGCCACCGTACGCGGCCTGGTCAGCTCTGCTGTGCGCTCTTGGTTAGTGGGGCTTGAGCCCGGGTTGCTGCCCTGGCTCACCCCTGTACCTGGGAGCATTCGCTGAATGTGGGGAAGCTGTGGGTTGGGATGTTTAGGAGGGGCTAGGCCTGTCCAGTAGGCCGCAGTAGCCAGGTCTAGGTGTAGGGCCTTTTTTTTTTTCTTCTTTTGCGGAACCGGGGATTGAACTAGGGCCCTTGTGCTTGCCAGGGAAGTGCTTATTCTACTGAGCCATCTCCCGGGCCCCTAATTTTATTTTTAATGTATTTAGTACAGGATCTCCCTACACAGTTAAGACACATGATCCTTCTGTTTTCAGCCTCCCAGTCCCTGGGATTATAGGCGCATGCCACGCTGGGGATTGAACCCTGGTCCCTGCATCTGCCTAAGCAGGCACTTTAATCTGCTGAGCTATCTGGCTGGCCCTGAGGTGTGAGGCTTTCTTGGGAACTACAGGAGAGGCGGAACACTTGGCCACACGTAGGATGTGTGCGTGGGGGAAGGTTAAGCTATCCTGGGCCTGAGTTGCCAGCTTTCCCTTCCCCTTTAGTAATGTGGACCCTATAAAAGCTGTCATCCCATGAATTTGAAGTCCCAAGTATCTTATTTTTCGTAGCAGGAATTTGGGGTGTTGTGCTTGCCAGGCAGAGGCTTGTGCAGCTGAACTACATCCCCAGCTACTCTGGACTTTACAAGACATGGTGTCTACCACGTGTTGCTCAGGCTGGCCAGGAACCTGCTCTGTGCCCCAGGCAGGGCTTGAACTGCTCCTTCTGCCAGGCACTGGACTCGGGCTACGAGCCTGCACCACCTTCAGTCATCCCCTTTACTCACCCTGCTTATGAGCCCGTGTAGTTCTCTGCCCATCCCCTCCATCTGCTCAAGAATTGGGAAGCAAAGCATTTCAGAAGAGCAGGAGTAGATAAAGCTTGTTTTTTATTTGAAAATAAAAGCAAAGCTCTGGAAAGCATAGGCTGGAAACCAGCCCTAGGTCAGAGGTCACAGTCAGCGGCGGGGTTAGCCAGCGTAGGGACTTGGGGACCAGAGTTTCCCAGAGCTCCTTGGGTGGCACACGCTCGCTCTCCCATTGCGGGTGCTGCCAGGTGCTGCCGGACGCTGGGGTCCACAGTGACAAGGCCTTGTATCCTGTAAGGGTGACATTCTGAAGGCAGCACGCTTTTCCTTGGCAGGAAGTCAGCTTCCGTCACCGCATGTTGGCCACTAGGGCCTGGGTCCGGCCCTGAACCAGTATCCACAGCAACCTCTCCTTGGAGTCACTGCCTCCTGCAGAGGGAAGGGAAGGAGGGAAGCCGCCTTAGTCTGCTGCACCACACTGCGTCCAACTGGCCTGGAGGTGCTGGTTCCATTCTCCTGGGGCCTCAGATCAGGATGCCAACAGGGCACACTGGGCATCGGAGTCGGCCTCCCTGGCATCCTGGGTGCTGCCACGTGGTATCAGATGTCACAACCTCACACTGAACCCAGGCTCTGGTCTCTAATTGGGGCAGGCTGTAACTGGGGGCCACACAGGGCTCTCTGCTCCCAAGTGGAGGGGGAGCCTAGAGGTGCTCTCAGTGCTTCTGGGACCACCACGTCATTTTCTGAAGGAAGTGAAATACCAGTGTCACTGGAAACCTGCAGGACCCTAGATTTTGGCTCCAGATAGCCATGGGGCGAGCCCTAGATAGAGTCCTATGAGCCTGGGAAGTTAATTTCCATCTATTGGAGCCCACTCTGACCTTGAACTCGGACCGGAGGCTTCAGTGCTAGGACTGCAGGTGCACAACACCACTGCCTGTCTAATCCTCATCCCTAGAAGAGGTTAAAGTCCTAGGAAGGTCCTAGGACCTTAGAGCTGGGTGTGTAGCTCAAGGCACGCACTCCTAGTAGGACTGAAGAAGCTATGGGTTCCATCCACGGTCTGCCAGGAAAGCAGGAACTCCTGTCTGTCTGCCAACCTGCACAGGGCAGCTATTTGGTTTTTGCCGTAGTGCTGGGGACCTAACCCAGGGCCTCATGCTAGACAAGTCTCTGCCACTGAGCTACATCCCTAGACCCAGCCCAGCTGGCTTTATTTTTTCTAAGACAATATCCACCAACTTAGCCAGGCTGGCCTCAAACTTTGGATCTTCTTGCCTCAGCCTCCATGTAGCTGAAACTATAGGCCACCATAACACTCCAGTTCTAATCACTACCCGTACGTCAGCTAACTCCCCCCTGTATATGCACAGCCATCAGGGATAACTCTGGCCTGGCCATTCCATGGCCTGCCTCTGTCCACCCCTCTCTGCCCTCCCACGCACAGCCCGAGGATCTGCAAAGGAACCAAAAGGTGGTCAAATGCTGATGGAGGCTGAGGAGACCATGCCGACTTGGCTTACCCTCCGGGTGTCGATGTGGCCTTCTCCACCCGGAGCTTCTTCCTGGGCTCTGGAAGTATGGGGGGGCTCTGGGGAGCCTCGCTTTCATCATCCAGCTCCGCCAGCACTCGGTGAGCTGACTTCCTCCGGTTTCTTGGGGGTGGGCCAGGTGTGGGGCCCCCTTCCCGGGGTATGGCGGGAACAGGCAGGCTCTGGGGCCCACCTCCACCCCTGGAGAAGGTGAGGGGCTGGGGTCGAAGCTTGCTGAGGCTGCCAATGGAGTTGAGGATCAGTGTGGCCTTAGGAGCAGGGGACAGGGTGCTGAGGGGCCGCTGCGGGGCCCCCTGGGAGGGCAGCATGGGCCGGAAACAAGCCCCAGCCCCAGCTTCTCGTGCCCGAGGCGTGGTGATGGCAGCGAAGTCCTGAGGCCTAACCCGGACTTGCTGGAACATGAAGTAGAACTCCGAGGGGCTGGAACCTGGGGGCTCTTCAGGGCCAAAGGTCAGGAGGTCACCGTCACTCAGCTCCAGCCTGTGTCCCCTGGGGAGCCGGACATTATTGACCAAAGTCCCTGTCAATGGTGGGCATGACACAAATGACAAGAACAGAAGTGACCAGTCAGGAGTAATCTGACCTGCTTGATTTTCAGGGGAACAGGGAAAGAATCAATTTCTCCCACGCATCCTGGACCCTTTGGCCAGTGACAGCACATACAAGCTCCTTGTTGGCAGGAGGCAAGTTTATTTCTCTTTTGCTTTCCTGTAAGTGGGCTCCAAGGTCCTGGGCTCTCACGCTTCCTTTAGCCAGCTCCAACTCAAAAAGTCCAGTGACTCAGGTTCCGGCTCTACTACCTCCAGCTCCACTTCCTAACCCACTTTCCTCGTCTGTAGAGTGAGGGTGTCGGCGCCACCCACTGCAGTGCACTTGGTGCCCACCTCGGAGCTGGAAGCACTGAGTGAACGCTGGCCCCGCTACGTGCTAATGCTCAGAGCACCCCCGAACAGTCTAGCGTTCACCTCGAAGATAGAGGCCTGGAGCGGTCAGGTGACAGGCCTGAGGTTTTGCCGGGTTCTAGTGGCAGAAAACCATAAGCCCAGGCCTCTGAGCAGTCTTAGTTGAGAAGAAAGACATGACCAGATCCTTAAAATGTACTCAGTAACTGCCCAAAAGCAGGAAGGGGCCTCCGCAAGGCTGGAAAGTAAGTCAAGTCCAAGCCTGGTCCCAGAACCCTGCCACTGTGACACCTGCCTGTCAGGTCCTGAGCCCTGGTTCCACCTCCCAGCCTGTGTGACTGAATAGATGGAACAAGGGCCAGTCCTCTGAGATGACAGCACACACTTCTGATGGCAAGACAGGGCTGGGCCGCTGCTGCCAGACCGACAGACTGGGAGGCAAGTGGCAGGGGTCCACCTGGGGCCAAATCGCCCTGCCCGGCGCTTACCTTGGCTGCTGTGGTCCTCCAGGCTGACTCTCCAGTCCTCACCCCTGCGCTCGGCATGCAGCTCCGCGTGGACCCCAGAAATGAGGCCGGGCTCCTGCTGGGGCCGCAGGGCCACATCACACAGGTCCGCCCTGCGGCCCAGACGGTAGGTGCAGCCCGCGCCAGTGGGTGGGTGGAAGGTGTAGAGATCCCCACCCCTGCCGCCCCCTATTCGCAGCAGCTGGAAGCAGGGCAGCATGGGCAGTGGTCCTCCGCAGCCCTCTTCCACTTAGGAGGCCATGGCCGGCCGGCGGGCTCGCTAAATTAGTCTGCTGCAGGTGGGTTGTGCTGTGCGTAATTTCAGCTTCCCATACACAGCCAAGTAGTGCAAATTCAATGCAAAACTGGTTTTTCAGCAGGTTGGCAATCTTAAAACCCTTAAGGTCTAGGTGCAGCACAGCAGCAGCAGCGCATCCGTCTGTGGCGCCTTAGCTGAGCTGGGTCCTCCCCCAAGCGTCCAATCTGTGCAAAACAAGGGCACGTTAGGCAGCTGCGGGGCAAGTGTGGGCTGGAGGCGTGACGCCCGCTGTCAAACTCGCTTCTCAGAATACAGCTCCTCCCGCACTCCCGGAGCCCTGAGGCAGGGGATCCACTGCCATCCCCAAGGCACTGCACAAACGGGCCCTACAAGGCCAATAAAGCCGATTTAACCCATTGCTTTCCGCTTCTCTGTGAAATAAAAACAGGGGTGCCTCGTGACCCTGCAAGGGAAACTCGGCCTTTTCCCTCCAGGCCCCAGCCCAGTTTCAGATCTACCTCCTTCGTGCAGTCTTTGGTCTCAGGTCCAGGTCGGCCCTTCAGGGTCTGCTGGCTCAAGGGCGCGGCGGAGTTTGACAGCCAGGAAGCTAAGGCAGGGAGGGGCGCGGCATCCGCGCGCGGGCAGCTCATGTCCCCTCCTTCGGAATTCCCGGGTCCAGAGAGCCCGCCCCCTGCCGTTCCCGATTGGTTATCGCCTTCGCCTTCCTTCACACTATTGGGCGGTGATTCTGATGGGTTCCTCCCCCATATGGCGTCTTTCGCCTTTTCTGATTGGTTCATAAGTTTTCCCGGGTTCCCGGAGGGAGGAGGAGTCGCCACGGCGCGGAGGCTCCGGACGCCACTGCGCCTGCGCACTCCCCCCCCCTTGAGCGGCTTTCCACGGCCCGCCGTCCCGGCCGCCTTGCGCAGGCGCGGTCGGGCGGGCCGCAGCCGGGTGCGGGGGTGTGGCCGGAGGGCGGACGGGGCGCCCGGCCCGGTGAGAGACGTCGGTTGTGGGCTGCGAGGGGGTGCGGGGGTGCGGGGTGGGCGGGGCCGTGCGCTAGGGAAAGAGCGGCCGGGGAGGAAGCGGTGGGGAGGTCAGAATGGCGTTGGAGCTCGGGGTCTGGGAAGGAGGGGACGGGTGTCGCGGAGGAAGGGGCAACAGCGCGGGCTCGTGGCTTCCTTCGGCGCGGAGCAGGTCGGGCGCCCCGAGGCGCGGCAGGAGCCCCAGCGTCCCACGGCGGCGCGCGGGAAGGCCCCGAGGGGCCCGGGGGAGAAGGCGGGGCTGGCGCTCCTCCCGAATCCCGCCGCCCGCGGCCCGGGGCGGAGCGGGCCGCTCGGAGGTCGGCGGGGCCCCTGCGCTGGGCACCTGCACCCCGCGGCGGCCGGGATGGGAGGAACGTGGTGGGGAGAGCGGAGACCACTGCTTAAATTTAGGTTCATCTTAATGAGAAAATAAAATAGCATGCAATTTAAGGATTATGACTGTTGTGAAGGCATTTTCTGTGTACGGTGGACTGAAAATTGCATCGGAGTGTCCTTGTTTGTCTACTTGTTCAGGGGACCGCAGGTGGCTGGAGAGTCTACAGCTTTCGGAAGCCGTGGAGATGCTGCCGCCTTCTGGTCAGCGGGCACCAGGGCACTGTGAGGGGAGCGGGGCCCTGCTCCCTGCAGAGCTCACTTCCTGCTCTTGTGATTCTCCAGGTTTCTCTGGGCTGGTGCCCCCGTCCCACTTCCAAGTTCGGCCCCTTCCCACACAGCCAAGAGTGGCTCCAGCCTGGGTCTCAGACCCCCTCCTCCTCCCGCCCCCAGCCCACCAAGTCGGCACTGAGAGGCACCAGAGGCCTCTGGTGAGCGCGTGGGAACCGGATGTTCCTGGCGATTGGCACGGACCAGGTCGGAGAGGCAGGTAGGGACTCACTGCCAGGATTTTCTGAGAGTCATTAGCTTGTGACTTTATTCACTGAAATGGGTTCCTTCATTTGTGCATTTTTATATAGGCAGCTATTTAACCAATAATGCATAAATAATGTTACATGTTAGACACTTTTTTTTTTTTTGGTGGAACCAGGGATTGAACTCAGGCCCTTGCACTTAGCCAGGCAAGTGCTTATTCTACTGAGCCATCTCCCTGGCCCCATGTTAGACACTTGAGATGGGAAAAACAAGCACAAGTAAGAGACATCAGCTTAAATTGTTGTTCAGTAAAGCATTTACCTGGGCGTGGTGGTGCGTATCTGTAATGCCAGTACTCTGGAGGCAGAGACAGGAGGATTGCCATGAATTTGAGCTCAGCTCTGGGCTACATAGTGAGTAAGACCAGACTGAACTGACCCAAAAATCGATTAATAAAGAATAGATATTTCAAAGAGAGGAGAGAAGTTGACTGGCCGCGAATCCTAAAGCGCAGTCCAGAGCCAGTTGAAGGACGGAGATCTGGCATTGTGGTGTGTGGGTTCTTCTAACTGAAGGGCCGAAGAGGCAGGCCGTGCTCTCAGTGAATGTTCGGGAACTCTTCCTTGCTGTTTCACCTGTGTCTGTTCTAAATGTTTGGGAGAGTCACTCTGCCACTGTCAGTCTGTAATGGGATTACCTGGAGCAGGATCAGAGAGCACTAGGCTAGTGTCAGGAGGCAGAGGTTCTGTCGAGTTTGGAGGCTCTGACAAGTCAATGTTACAAACACCATTTACTTAAAAAAAAAAAAACAACAACTCATATGGCTCTCAACAAGAGAGCTGGCTCAAGAGCCATGCCACAAGGGGGTTTAACCTTTATGACACGTGTGGAGTGTTCGCCAGGGTTCAGGACTGCACAGTTGGCTAATATCACTAAAGGTCGTACCAAGCGCTGCCCTGGCTACGGCAGCACTGGAAACTCGGGCCCTCTCCAGCCCGAACTGCCTGTGCCTCCCCTTCACTCTGAAGTGTGTGCATGATTTTCCACCCTTTCCACACAGGATGTTTATACCCCTGCCTATGTGTCACACTCCAGAGAGATCCATGCATGACTCCCAAGCCGTTAGGTCCTGTGAGCCCTGACAGCACCTTGAATACAGAGACCCTTCCTCAGCTTCACCCCAGCTCCCCAAATGTGAGCAGAAGGCTGCTCTTGCCCTCAACACCAGACACCTGTCCCCCCGCCATCTGTCTCTGAAGGTCCCTGGAGCTGGTGGGGTCGCAGGCCCTGAGTCAGCAGGCAGAGCTCATCTCTCGGCAGCTGCAGGAACTGCGGAGGCTGGAGGAGGAGGTGCGTGCCCTGCGGGAGACCTCGCTGCAGCAGAAGATGAGGCTGGAGGCCCAGGCCATGGAGCTGGAGGCCCTGGCGCAGGCTGAGAAGGCCGGCCACGCTGAGGCTGAGGGCCTGCGCGCTGCCCTGGCTGGGGCAGAGGTGGTCCGGAAAAACCTGGAAGAGGGCAGCCAGCGGCAGCTAGAGGAGGTGCAGAGGCTACACCGAGAGCAGGTGAGCTAGGCGGGAGGGGTTCAGATTCTTGACGGGCTGGGCGGCAGCTCCAAGCAGAGAGTGGGGGAGTGACCTCAGAGGACCTGCACCTCGCCTAGGCCACCACCTCCTAGGGCCGTAAGGTCCTTGGTGAAGGAGTGAAGCAGGTGGCCTGGCACAGTGGGGAGCCTTTGAACTTTGTGCTTCACTCAAATCTGGGAGCCTCACAGGGGCAGTGAGGAAGGTGGACCTGGGTCTCAGAGGACTGAGGAGGGTGTTCAGGCAGGAAGCTCAGTGCTGCTCTTTGCCAGTGCTGGGACAGCAGCCAGGGCTTCAGTAACCACATCACCAGAGTCCCTGCGCCCATGGAAGGACCTGGGGGCCTAGGCGATGTGCAGGTCCTCCGAGGTCTCCGAAGTGGGAGTGAAGGTGAAGGTCAAAGCAGGAGAGGTTCAGGAGCCCAGATGTCAGGGTGAACCAGGGCCTGCTCCACTTGCTCTTCTCCCCACAGCTGTCCTCACTGACGCAGACTCACCAGGAGGCACTGGACAGTTTGACTAGCAAGGCCCAGGGCTTGGAGAAATCTCTGAGTGGCCTGGAAGCTAGGAGGGCAGGGGAAGCCGAGGAGCTGGCTGCAGCCCAAAATGAGGCTGAGCTGCTGCGGCAGCAACTGAGGTGAGTGTGGGGTGCTGGGAGGGTCCCAGGGCTGGGACTGTGAGGATCTCCAGGGCGACTCATTAATGGGTGCTGTTTCCACACCACCCCTAGCAAGGCCCAAGAAGACTTGGAAGGTCAGGTGGCCCTGGTTGAGAATCTTCGGAAATATGTGGGGGAACAAGTCCCTCCGGAGGCCCGCAGCCAAGCGTGGGAACCCGAGCGGCAGGAGCTTCTGGCTGCTGTGCAGGTGGGAGAGGGTCAGGGTGTGGCCTCAGCGGGCCATGGGGGTCCAGGAGGGACCATCCCAGAGGAGAAGGCAGTGCTGTTGCAGCTGTGTGCAGGCTCAGGCCTGAGCCTCGCACTCGCCTCCCACAGCACCTGCAGGAGGACAGGGCCAGCCTGCGCGCCACCACCGAGCTGCTGCAGGTGCGTGTGCAGAGCCTGGTGCACGTGCTCACCCTGCAGGAGGAGGAGCTGACCCGGAAGGTAGGGCCCCTGGGTGGGCATTGTGCCAGGCCCCCCCAGCTCTTGCTGCAGCTCCTGCCACTCAAGCAGGACAGGGAAAGGCTGGGTGGGGTGCATCTGCTCCTCTCCTCCGCGAGCCCGCACTTCTGCACACAGGCCCTGCCCCCAGGGTCCCTGGAGCCTGAGTGTGCTGCGAAGCACCAGTCCCTGCTAAGCCGCTGGCGGGAGAAGGTGTTTGCCCTGTTGGTGCAGCTCAAGTCCCAGGAGCTAGAGCATAGCGACTCAGTGAAGGCGCTGCGAGGACAGGTTGGTGGCCCTGCCCTTCCTGCATGTTTGCCCGGGCTCCTTACGCAGGGTGACATTATTCAGTAAACGCTTCCTGAAGCCTAGCGGGTGGCACACCTGTAATCCCAGCTGTCTGGGAGGCAGAGGCAGGAGGATTCCAAGTTCCAGCTCAGCCTGGGCAGTGTAGCAAAACCCTGTTTCAAAAAGTGCAAAAAAGGGGGTGTGGGACAGTTGTAGCTCAGTGCAAAGGCAAAAATAAATATATTTAAAAATTACTGAATGGGGCTGGGGAGATGGCTCAGTGGTCTAAAAGAATCTACTTAGGGCCGGGGAGATGGCTCAGTGGAATAAGTGCTTGCCTGGCAAGCACAAGGGCCTGAGTTCAATCCCCGGTTCCGAAAAAAAAAAAAAAAAAAAAAAAAGAGTATGGTCTCAAGGTGCATCCATTTACCTAGAAATATCTTCAGTTTATTCTTATGTACTGCAGAGTAATACTCCTTTGCATAAAAGCATCTACTTAGAATAAGCTTAGCAAATCACAGGGACCGCGGTTCAATCCCCAGCACCACATGCCAGCCAGCCCCACCCCCTGGTGGGCTGAGCTGGCCACACACACACACACACACACACACACACACACACATAAATAAATAAATAAATGAAATTTTAAAAATAAAAAAATAAAGCAGAGTAACTAAAGAAAAAAAAATAAAAATTACTGAATGATTCTTAACGTGCTGGGACATAGCCTAAGTGACTCAGACAAGTACCTGTGTAAGTCCTCGTGGAGCTTACACTCTAGAATGGAGACTCAGGAAACAGCAGAAGTAGCAGCAAGCAAGGCTCAGTGAGCCCTGTGAAGAAGGACCGTGACAGGCCAGGCAACTGCCGGTGGGGTGCCAGGTAGGGGTAGTGCTCGGGGTCTGCTGTGCCCAGTGCCCTGTCCTGCCCCAGGTGGCTGAGCTCCAGGAACAAGTGACAGTCCAGAGCCAGGAGCAGGCCATCCTGCAGCGCTCTCTGCAGGACAGAGCCGCAGAGGTGGAGGTGGAGCGCGTGGGGGCCAAGGTATGTGGTGGGCGGGCGCCCAGGCAGGGTCTGCAGGCCACACCCGGGCAGGCAAAGGACCCTTCCTTACCTTCACGACATCCCCAGGCCCTGCAGATGGAGCTGGGCCGGACCCAGGAGGCCCAGTGGCGGCAGCAACAGCAGACAGCCTTGGCGGAGGAGCAGTTGAAGCTGGTGGTTGGCGCCGTCAGCAGGTGTCTGGGGTGGGAGGTTTCCCCAGCTCCTTGTCCAGCTTCCAGGGTACGTTGGGTCAGAGAGCCTTGGGCAGTAGGAGCCTTCAGGAAGCTGGGCGTGGCCAGGTCTCCGCTGTTCTCCAAAGGCTTCTGCGTGCAGCTTCCCGGGGTGGCTCCCTTCAGGGTTGGGGATGTGGATACATGGCCCTCCCTCACTCCCTGGTGCACGACAGCGGCCAAAACCAGGTGGTGAGAAGAGAACTCACGGTCACTTGGAAAGCTGCCTGGTCGGCGGCGAGGTGTGTCGTGGCCAGGGCCACTGCCTCTGAGCAGATGCAGCTGTGGGGGGATTATCTAGGTACAAGGCCGCAATCGCTGGCAGGCAGACAGACAGAAGAGTAAAAGTTCCTTCCACAGCCTTCCTGGGTGCTGAGATTATAGGTGTGCTGCTTACCATGCCTGGCTAACTGGGCCATTTCTGGTTGATACTGACTGAAGGCATTAGCTCCTTCGGTTCTCATCCCCCCATTGAGCTTGGGTATCTGCATGGCAGCTCCTGTGCCAGGCAGTTGTTGGTTCTGAAATCCTGCACCCCCACTTCTGCTTTGCGGGAGAGCTGAGGGTGGAGGTTCAGTGTCCCGTGTCCTCCCCAGCTGCCAGATCGGCCTCCAGAGCACCGTGACGAAGCTGGAACAGGCTGTAGCCCGGCTTCCCAGCCTCAACAACCGACTCAGCTACGCTGCCAGGAAGGTGCATACCATCCAGGGTGAGTGCAGCGCTGGGGCAGTGTCCCTCCTGCCTGCCAGCCCCGCCCCGCTCCCCCTGACCCCGTGTCCGCTGGCCCCGCTCCCCCTGGCCCCGTGTCCGCTGGCCCTGCTCCCGCCTTCCTGCGCCTGCTCACCAGTCCCTGGCCTTCCCGCTCTGCTGTTCTGTCTTCCCAGTCCTCCACTACAAACCCAGCTCTTTTGTCTTTTCCTTCCCAGGCCTGATGGCTCGAAAACTGGCCCTGGCTCAGCTGCGCCTGGAGAGGTGAATTTGGGACGCTATGCGGTGGAGGGATGTTGCAGGGAGCAGAGATTTAGGGTGTTGGATGTCTGGGTTAGGCGGGGGGTGACTTCCTGTGCCCGCTCCCCTTCCTGTCTAGCTGCCCTGCACCTGCACCCCCACCCCCACCCCCACCAGACACCAGCGACAGCCTTGAGCTTCAACAGCTGCGGGAAGAGCGGAACCGCCTGGGTGCGGAGCTGCAGCTGAGTGCCCGCCTCATCCAGCAGGAGGTGGGCCGGGCACGGGAGCAAGGTAGGCCGCCAGGCAGCTGCCTCAGAGGAGGAGGAGGAGGAGGGGAACTGGGGAGAGACCTGAGCGAACACCCCTATCTGCACAGGGGAGGAGGAGCGGCGGCAGCTGAGCAAGGTGGCCCAGCAGCTGGAGCAGGAGTTGCAGCACGCCCAGGAGGCCCTGGCCAGCGTGGGGCTGCAGCTGGAGGCTGCTCGCCAGGGCCAGCAGGAGAGCACGGAGGAGGCTGCCAGCCTCCGGCGGGAGCTGACCCAGCAGCAGGAGACCTATGCAAGAGGTGTGGGGCGGGAGGGCCGTGGGCGACCCCATGGGTGAGGCAGTTCCCGCTGATGTCCTGTCCCTTCCCGCACCCCAGCTCTGCAGGAGAAGGTGGCTGAAGTGGAGGCCCGGCTGCGGGAGCAGCTTTCAGATGCGGAGCGGAGGCTGAATGAGGCTCGGAGGGAGCAGACCAAGGCGGGTGAGATGGGCTGGTGGCAGGGCCCTCAGAGGGTGTGGGATGGCATGATGGATGTCACCTGGTGGGCTCTGTGTGGCTGGCCTGGGGCTCCATTCCTGCCCCCAGCCCCCAGCCAGACAGCCGGGTCAGCAGCTGGGCCAGGGGTACTTCTTGACCACCCCTAACCAGGGAGGACAGCCGTTGTCCACCACACCTGCCTGGGGCCCGCCCACGTTTACCCACACAGTTCCACACCACTCAGGCTGCAGGCAGACTGCGCTGTGTCTATCTTCAGCAAATAGGAAATCGCAGGGAGCCGCAGCACCATGAGCACACTCGGGGAGGGCGAGCCCTGAGGTCTGACCCCCGCTCCTATTCGGGCATTTGAAGGAGCTCTCGGGAGGTCCTGGTGGTGGGGCCATGGATAGGAGGGGCTCGCCTCCACTGTGTGAGGAGGTGGAGATTGCAGAGCGGCTTCCCCGCGGGACCCGTGCTCCCGCTGGCCGGTGCCCATGGCGCTGCTGACCCCAGCTTCTCCCCTCACAGTGGCCTCCCTGCACCAGATGCAGCGCACAGCTGCCCGGGAGAAGGAGCGGAACCAGGAGCTCAGGCGCCTGCAGGATGAGGCCCGGAAGGAGGAGGGGCAGCGGCTGAGCCGGCGCTTGCAGGAGCTAGAGAGGGAGAAGAACCTCATGTTGGTGAGGACGGGGAGGCCTGGGCCTGAGTCAGCCGGTGGTTGGATGGGGTGGGGGGCACTCTGCAGGGCTCGGTGGCGTTCGACCCTCTCCTTCCCAGGCCACCTTGCAGCAGGAGGGTCTCCTCTCCCATTACAAGCAGCAGCGACTCTTGGCCGTTCTCCCCGCCCTGCTGGACGAGGGGAAGCCAGTGGAGGCGAGCGCCAGGCCCACCGGGCCCACCCAGAAGTCCGGAGGAGGTGATGGGCAGAGCTGAGAGCTGGGGGCGGGCCTCTGGAGCCTCCTGCCCACACTGCCGCCCTCCGGTGCCATCCCCGCTTGTCCTCTGCAGGGTCCCTGTCTGCGCTGCTGGACAACCTGCAGGGCCTCAGCGAGGCCATTGCTGAAGAAGATGCCGCTGGCCAAGGAGACAGCGGCCCTGTCCAAAGCTGAGCAGCCCAGGCCTGGGCGGGGCCTGCGGCTGGGTCCCCAGTGGAGGCACTGGAGACACCGTGGCCAGCTTCCGCCAGACCTGAATTGTGCCCCAATAAAGAGAGTGCTCACAGTGGGCGCCCCGCCATGCCCTTTCCCTCAGCCCCTTGGTGATGTTTGGAGAGTGCTCGGTTTTCTTCCCACCTTTTGCTTTAAAAATTTCTGACCAGGTGCCGTGGTGCTGCCTGTCATTCCGGCACTGAAGGGGCCGAGGCAGGAAGGCCAGGGCCACTGAGCGAGACTGACCCAAAGAGAAGAGGGCTGGACATGCAGCTTAGTGCGAAGGCCTGCAGTGTCCAGTACCAAATAAACGAATAAGGAACTTGTTTTCCTTGGAAAATGCTACATGCCAGGAGAGGGCTGCAGGGACACACTGCTCATTCACGACTTGGCTGGCACTGTCCCTCACCGTCCCACCGAGGCCCACAGTGATGGTCTTGCCAGGAGAGTACAGAGACAACCTCAGGACAGCTGGACCTGGTGGTGCACACCTGGAATCCTGGGGAGACTGAGGCAGAGGCTTGCCTGGGCTACACAGTAAGACCCTGTCTTAAACACAACAAACCTCTCAACAAAGGAGTACATCCAGTAAATGCTGAGGTACAGAGATGACAGGGAAACCCTGTGAGGAAAGGCACTAGGGAGGGGAAAGGAACCTTGTGCAGACCCTTGCCGGGAGAACAGGACACCGCTGCTGGGGAGAAGCCCGTGCTGGTGAGGAGCTTGGGTTCTACTGTGCATCACCAGAGCCCTTGGAGTGTCGCTGGCAGTGTGATTTGGGTTGTGTACTCTGGTTTTTTTCTTTTGAGATGGTCCAGGCTGCTGTGAGCTCAGCACTCCTCTGGCCTGGGGCTCCTGACTGCTGGGTACAGGTGTGCGCCCCGTCCAGTGCAGCCTGGCTTTATCTTTTGGCAAAGTCTTACTACAGTGTATAGGCTAGCAAGGCGAACCTCTCAGAGCTACCAAACAGCCTGCTGTGGCATGTGTGCCACAGGTTTGCCAAGCTGCAGTTGGCATCCTCCCCAGTGCCGGGAATGCAGGCCGCTGGGGTTACACCACCGCTGGGCTGGGTTTGCATTTTTACAAGGTCTTTGGCTGTTGTGGATGGGAGTGCAGGAAGGGGCACAGGCAGGGAAGGTCTGGGAAGCGGCTGGGGTGGGCACTGACCATGGCCTGCAGGTGGGTGGGGGGAGGGTGGCCCTTGCCAGGGAGATCAGCTGGAGCTCCAGTGACTGCCACTCCTGCGTCCAGGACGCCAGAGGCCAAACTGCTATCTGGAGTGGGGGGAATGGGGTGTGCTGGCGCTGAGGACCTGGGGGGCAGGGGGCTCTGAGGGAGGAGGTGGGGTTGGGGGCAGCTTCTGCTGGAGCCTGGGGGTGGGGGCTGATGCGACCAGTTCCGGGTGGGGAGGCACCACGTCCTCTCAGGAGGGCAGCTCCCAGCGTGGAATTCCTTGGATGTCACTGCTTAGGGCAGCCCTGGGGAAGGCTGTGCCAGACGACACCTGCCTGGGCCTGGGGAAGGAGGCACCCCCAGGGGGCTGTAGCTGTTAGGCTCCCCTCCCCCCAGCGTCCTGCCCCTGTCCCTGTAATTAGTGTGCTTCCCCACGCCGCCGCTGCCCAGGGCCAGGTTTGCGCCCATTCTTTGGCTTCCAATGAATCGCTGATAACTACCTGGGAGGAAAGCTGGGGCTCTGAGTTTGGAGGTGACAGGTGGGTATCTCTTGCCGCAGGGTGTGGATGGAAGTGGCATAAAGACAAGGCCCAGGGCCTGGGTCACTGGTGAGGACAGCCAGCAGCGGGGGAGCTGGGCTGGGGGCCTCAAATAAGAGACGCCATGGCTACAAGCAGCAGCCCTTAAACGGGTTTGACCAGTCGGGCTCTAATGGGATTTCCTGTCATTGGGCAGCCCCTCCCCGTAGACTGGCCTTCTGCCCTATAAAGGTTCTTGGGGATCCCAGGCGCTCAGACTGGTGTGCCCTGTCTTTGGGGGCCAGCAGATGGCCATGAAGCTCAACTGGACGTTTGTGGGGGTCCTGATCCTTTGCCTGTTTGCTGGAGGTGAGCCAGGAAGACTCCAGGAATGGATGCAGGGTGAGGGGGTGGACAAAAGCACCCCCCTTCTGTAAGGTTGACCATTATGGCAAGGGCTATACCGGGCAGCAGCACTGGTGCAGGGGCTCAGGCCTGTGGGGATGCAGGAAAGTGTAGTTTGTCAAAACAAAGATTTTGCTGGTTTGAGTGAAACCTCGGCTGATCAGAGTCCCGAGTGGATAAGTACATGCTGGTGTGAGGGGTCGTGTTAGGGACAGTGCGGTCCTGGACACCTGGGCCAAGCTATGGGCCACTTTGGGTATAGAGCAGCCCAGGCCCAGGCATGGGACATCCTGTTGGGAGCCAGTGGAGTTTATCTGAGGGAGGGCAGATCCAGACAGGTAAAACCAGCGGCTCAGAGCAGCCTGGGTTGCTTCACTGTGGCTGCGTTAGTGACAGTGGAAGCTCGGAGAGCGCCTGAGAGCTGCTTGGAGGTGCGTGGGTTCCACTCGGACTGTGTCCCCACCAGAGGTCCCCCCGTTCTTCCTTGACAGGCATCTCAGGCATCGAGGACCACCCCACTCCTAGGTCCACAGAGGCCAGAGAAGAGGAGGACTCCCTACCTGTGCCTCATGGCCCTCCTATCCCTGGTGACCCGTGGCCGGGGCCACCCCCTATCTTCGAGGACCCACCAGCCCCTGGCCCCAGCCATCCCTGGGGAGACCTGCCTGACAGTGGAGTGTGGCCCCCCGAGCCCCCTAGCACTGATCCCCCCCAGCCTCCCCGGCCTGATGACCCTTGGCCAGCAGGACCCCAGCCCCCAGAAAACCCCTGGCCACCGGCCCCAGAGGTGGACCATGACCCTCGAGAGGAGCCAGACCTGGACCCACCCCGGGAGGAGTACAGATAGTGGGGATCCCCAGGGAGAGAGCACCAAGCCCCTCTCCACCCTCCTGCTTCTTTTTAAACTCTCCAACTTTGTCTAACTCCTTAGTCCTCACTGCATTTTATCTTGAACTCAAAGGTGTCCTCGGTAGTTACTTTTCTGGGACCCACGTTTAGCCTGCACATCCCCTCCTTTTTTCTTTGTCATCAAAGCACACACTCCTACCTCACCCACTCCTCTCCTTGCCATGGGACCTGGGACCCCAGACAGGGCCAGCCACACTGTGCTCCCCGTTGCCACCTGGTGGCCCGCGGCTGGACCCAACAGTAGACCTAAATCACGGTGCTTCAGCAAAGTGGAAAGAATAAAACTGTTTTCTAAATTCTGAATCCAAGCTGCTGCTTTATAATGACTACGCTTTGAATATTCAGATCCCTTCTTTACAGCCCCAGACCGGCAGATCCGGAAGTACGCTGGCTTCCTGTCAAGCCCGAGGGCTAGGCCGAGGGGCCGCGGGGAGGAGGGCTGGCCACGTGTCTGTGTCCGCGACAGTAGGGGAGACCTCAGCCCGCTCCTGCCTTTCTGGGACTCCTGTGTTGAAGAGTGGGAAAACAAGCACGGTGTTCCCCCAATGGCACGTGGCTCGCACATCCTTGGGGTGCAAGCAGACTTGCCAGGAGCGGTGGGCAGTTTAAGGGGGTCGATCTCTGGAGGCACACGTGAGTCTTGCCAACTCGAGCTGCCGGAGGTCTGAAGCATAGGTCCCCAGTGGCATTTCCCCAGGAGCAGCGGTGCACACCTGCCCGCCTGGCTCCTCGGGTCTGGCAACTCGGTGAGAACATCCAACCAAAAGGAGAGGAGTCCGGACATCTGTCCTATGGCCTAGCGTCAGTCAGGGGGCTACCGAGGGGTGGAGTTGAAGAGGGCCTACGAGAAGCTGCAGTGCATCCCTTAAATTCATCTATAGGATACTGGGTTCACTTGGTTACCCCCAGGAAAACCGACAGGTGGCCAAATGAAACTAAGTTTAGGGTTAACACAACAGCTGTAGAGGTAGCTGGAAGGCCGCTTAGCGGCACGGCAAGCGCAAGGCCCTGAGCTCAATTCCCGGTGCAAAACCAAAACAAGCACCGGTGCTAGAGGTAGCCCGTTAGAGCTGCTCGCCTGCAGTCCTGGCTCCTCAGGAGTTTGATCCCAACAGCTCAAGACTAGCCCGGGCAACAGGAAGACTTTGTCTCAGTAAATAAGCGAATAAAGCAACTGAAGGAAGAACCGCAGGGGGTGAGCCTAGCAGTTTAATAGGCCCGGAGTAGGCCAAGTACACCACTCATCCACTCATCGCGTACAACACCTGGCCCCGGCCTTGCCCAGCAGCGCTGGGAGGACAGACGACACAACAGGAGGAATAAGTCTGCCGGTTCCGCTGGCAGAAAACAAGGCCGGAGAGGCAGGCGCGACACACAAGGTTAAACGACAACATCGCAGGCCGCGAGGAAGCGCATAGCTAAGTAACGACGCGAGTGACGACGCGCGGGCTGGGCGGCGGACGCCGAGCTCCAGGCACCCCTCGAGCACCCCGTCAACACGCAGGCGCAGCGCCCGCCCGCAGCGCTGGGGTGGGGAGGGAGGGCTGCGCAGGGGGAGGGCGGAGACCCCAGCCGGGGGGCGGGGCGGGGGCGGGG